TTCCACCTTGGCAGCTGATGGGGGCACCAGGACCCGCCAGCCATGCCCACCTGGATGAGGTCCCACAGTGTCACCTGGATGGTGTGGCCTGTGGGCAGGACAGAGGGTCCCTGAGGGCTGGACAGGTCACATGGGCCTTTAAGCCCCAGCTGGGTGTTGGTCCATCTGTACCCTGAGAGGGAATTCCACAGCAGATCATCTCTCTGGGCTCTGGCTGGTGGCTATGGCCCAGAGTCAGGAGCTCCTACGAATTAGGAGGGCCGAGGAAGGAGCAGCTGGGGTCGTGGGGACCCCCTTGGCCCTGCCCTGTCTTCTCAGGAGAGCACTGTGTGGCCCTGGCTGACCTCACACCCCACTGAGGCTGAGCAGCCGTGGCCTCTGCTCACTGTTCCTCAGTGGTACAGCTTATGACAATCTTGGGGACACTATGGTGATGAGACTTAGAGGGAAGATTATGGCATGAAGTGCCCACATTAAAAAACAGGAAGATCACGGGGTGCAGGGGCACATGCCTATAAACCTAGAGGCTCAGGAGGCTGAGACACGAGAATTGAGAGTTCAAACCCAGGATCAGCAAAAGGGAGGCACAAAGCCACTCAGTGAGACCCTGCCTCTAAATAAAATACGAAATAGGGCTGCGGGTGTGGCTCAGTGGGGCATGCCCGAGGTCAATCCCCGGTAGCAATAACAGCAACAATGACAAGGAGACCCTGGAAAATCCCAAACAATACTCTAATGGTACATCCAATGGCCCTAGAAGTACAGAAACAAACTAATTCCAAAATCAGTATGAGACAGCAAATAATTAAGACCGAACTAAAATTAATGAAATAGGTAATTATCAAACTCAAAGCATCAATGGAACAAAGAGTCAGTTCTTCATAAAGATGAACAAGGTTCACAAACCATTAGCCAGAATGACCAAAAGAAGGAGAGGGCAGACCCAGATCAACATCATTGAAGATGGAAAAGGAGACATCACTACAGACACAGCTAAATCTAGAGGATCATTGGGGTTATTTTAAAACCATATCCTCTAATAAATTGGAACATATAGAATATATAGAGATATATATAGATATATTTCTAGACAGATTTGACCTACAAAAATGAACTAGGTTGATATAGAAAACAGACTAACATCATGCGAAGCAGAAATCAAAGGCCTTCTGAGAAAGAAAAGCCTGGTACCTGATAGATGCTTTGCTGAGTTTCTATCAGACCATTAAAAATGAATCAATGCAAAATTCCTCAAATTATCCCATGAAATAGAGAGGCAGAGAGCACTCCCAAACTTACTCTCTGAAGTCAATATCACCCTGATAACAAAACCAGATAAAGACACATGAAGAAAAGAAAACTACAGACCAATATCCGCGATGAACACAGATGCCAAACTACATAATAAAATAATAGTAAACTGTAAGGGTAAAAGAAATTGAAGTTAAAGTGTAAAAGACCGGGCATTGTAAAGTTTCTAAGCTGCAAGGCCTGAGTTAAAATGTAAAGGACCAGGTATTGTTAAGTTCCTATGCTACTTGCAAAACCTGAAATTCCTGTAGCTGTTAAGACAATGCTTGGAACCGACCAGTAAATATTTCCCCTGACCGCCTGGTTGTTTAATAACTTAGGGCCCTGTGTGGCCTTGCACGTAGGCATCGCAGGGCCTGGACCAATCAGTTTTAATGTGTACCACGCTTTAGAACTGACCTATCACTCCCGCCCGACCTGTTCCCGCCAATGAATGAACTAATCATGTTTGGGAGTTGTTGTTTGATTTTCCCGCAGTGTATGATGATTTGTTAAAGGAGACTGTGATGTATGTAAAGTCCCCGCCCTCCCCAAAAAGTGTACTTAGGCAGTGCTCAGCCCCTGCTCAGGGCTCTGGGCTGCTCTCCCTTCTTGAGTGAGCACGGAGCCCCAGCACGCTGGAATGGATCCCCAATAAATCCCCTTCTGCAATTGCGTGAGTCAGTCTCTTGGTGGTCTCTTCCTCCGACGCTTTGCCGGACCCTTACATTACCACGTTCAAAACACTTTAGGAAGACTGCTGCATGCCATGATCAAGTTAGATTTGCCCCAGGGATGCAAGGTTGGTTCAATATACACAAATCAGAAAATGAAATTCATAACAAATAAAACCAAGGGGAAAAAATCACACAATTCTCTCAACAGATGCAGAAAAAGCCCTGGACAAAATTCAGCCACATGTTCATGTTCAAAACACTGAAGAGGCCTGGGCATGGGACTCAGTGAGAGAGGCACAGCTAGCATGTGCACAGCCCTAGATTCAATCACCAGCAATGCAAATAACAAACAAACAAAAAAGACCCTGAAGAAACTAGGAACTGAAGAGTCTTCCCTTAATATAATAAAAGTTATATATTCCAAACCCCCAAACAAGATCATACTGAGCAGAGAGTATCTGAAAGCATTTCCTCTAAGATCAGAAAGAAAAAAAGGATCTCGGTTCTCACCACACCTGTGCAATATAGTTCTTGAAACTGTAGCCAGAGCAATCAGGCAAGAGAAGGAAATTAACGGGATACAAATAGAAGGAGAATGAGTCCAAGTATCTTTCATTACTGATAACAATGCTGTACTTAAAGAACAAAACACTGCACCAGAAGACTTCTAGATCTGGTGAACAGAATGTGACAAAATCTTTGCCATCTTCTTTTACAATAGGGAATTAAGAATATATAAAGAACTGAAAAAACATAACACCTAAAAAACTAATAACATGCTCAATAAATGGCCAAATTTCAAAAAGTGACATTTCTCAAAAGAAAAAATTGCAAGTGACCAACAATCATATGGAAAACGTTTCCACATCTCTAACAATCAGAGAGATACAAATCAAAATCGTGCTAAGACCCCATCCCACAAAGGTTAGAAGGGCAATCTTCAAGAATACAAATACCAATGACTACTGGCAAGAATGTTGGGAGAAAGGACACACATACCTTCTTGGTGGGACTGCTAAGTAGCACAACCACTTTGGAGAGCACTATGGAGATTCCTCAAAAGACTAGGAACAGAACCACCATATGACCCAGTGATCCCACTTCTTGGTATTTATAAAAAAAAAACAAGCCTAAAATCAGCATACAATAGAGGTAGAGCCACATCAATGTGTATAGCAGCAGAATTCACAATAGCTAAATTATGGAACCAGCCCAGGTACCTGTCAACAGATAAATGACTAAAGACAATATGATTTATACACACAGTGGAGTTCTACCCAGCCAAAAAGAAGAAGGAAATTATGGCATTTGCTGCAAAAGCTAAAGAGAAAAAAGGAATGAAAAAGAGATCACATAAAAATAGAGGGAGAGCAGTAGAGCAGAGTTGGGGACCAAGGATCAGAAAGGAGGGAGGGCAACAGGGAGGACCTGGGGAGGGAAGTGGACCAGGTCATGCTGTGTGCAGTGTGAATAGACCTGGATGCATATCAATATATATGTAAGAGAAATGCACCAACTAAAACTAACTTAGTAGAAAGAAGACCGACCAGTAGAGTGAAGGAAGAGTCAGGGGAGGTGGGTGGGGGAAGAGGGAGCCCTGGGGATTGACATGGGCAGACTGCTGTGTGCACTATGAACATGTCAAATGAACCCCACTGTTGTGCCTTCCTGCACGGCACTGGTGGATATTACACACATGGACTCCACAGCCCATGCAGGTTTGCAGGAGCTTGAATTCACAGTTACCAGGCAGCAGGGGCTTCTGGAACCGGGTAAGCAAAGGGGGGGTCTTCCCTGATCCTCAACCAGGCTGAGCTCTGGGCTTCCTTCCTGTCCTGGGATCCCCGAGGCCCTGAAACAGCTCAGGTCTGCGCCGCCATCAAGGTGAGACCAGGGCTGGGCTCAGTGCACTCGGGGACCATCCCTTCCACTCTCGCCTGCTCCACCTTGATTTAGTCTTTATCTGCCGCAGTCTGTCTGGGCACAAAATCGAGCCACTCACAGCCTTGTAGATTCAAACCTCACCTCTGTTGGCCTCCAAATTTTAGACCATCACTAGCAGAAGGGAGGAGGATACAGAAATGCCACAGTCTGGCTGGGCACAAAATCACGAACCACTCACAGCCTTGTAGATTCAAACAGCAACTCTTTATTCCAGAACTCTCACCGGCACTCTACACGCACGTTCTGGGGAAAATACACCAGCACTCTACATGCATGTTCTGGAAAAATCCACACCCTCCACAGGGCTCTGCATACCAAATACTCTCTGAATCCCATGAGAACTGAACGGGAACTCAAGGAGCGGGCACCTAAGGCAGCAGGATCAGGATCCACCTTAAACCCAGATCCGCCCTAAACCCGGATCCGCCCTAATCCCTGAGCAAGGTCACCTTTCATGCAATGTCACTGCAAATGACCTGGGTCCAAGGCAAGCCCATTTCCACAATGGAGAGTCCTCCTTCTAAGCAACATTGGGTAGGCTGACAAAGAAATTGCCATGCGTCATTCCTACTTGGCTATGGCTCTCAGCATTTATCTACACTGGGACACCCTCAAGGTGTTAATGTCCTGTTTGGACTTTGGCCAGTGCTCCCTTAGAGGCTCAGCAGGAGTGCGGTTCCCACACTGAACATGAGGACGTCCAGCTTTCGGGGTCTAACGTCTTTCCCAGGACAGACAGTGGCTCTTTGTGGAGCTGGTGGGACCCACTCAGTCTGTAGCAGGGCCTGTGTTCTGCCTTGTCCCCTTGATTTACAGTGAGGCCACAGGTCAGGGGACACTCAGCACATCTGAGCACAGGTCAGAAATGTCCCAGCAGCCGAGGCCTCCCTCTGTCACTGTGGGAAGAGGAAAGGAGGCAGCGACCTCTTCCTCTTTCTGTGGGGCATGATGTAGACACCCCAGAGGGGCCCAGCCAACACATCCTGTCCCCTGTGTCCTCTGTGGGTCCCCAGCTCCAGACAGGGAGGCTGCAGGAGCCTGACCATGGCCCCCTGCTCCATTGTCCTCCTGGCCCTTGGTGAGTCCTGGACGGTGGGGACTGGGTGGAGGTGACAGGACAGGAACAGGTCCCTTCCCTGCACAGGCCTGAGCCAGCAAACCCAGCAGACTCTGTGCCCTCCCCCGGGGCTGCCCCTCACCTCTGCCCAGGCTCAGTGTGACCAGGGAGCACTGGGTCCTAGAGACAGACACATGGGTTGGGGACAGGCCCAGCCTTGGGAAGGTCTGGGCAGCAGAGAGACTCTTGGAAGGGGACCTGGAGGTCTCGCAGCCACCCCAGAGCAGGAAGAAGGCCACCCTGACCCTGGGGAGCAGGTGGCCTGGGAAGCAGGGAGACTGAGTGCCCAGGCTCCACCAGGCCCTGCTGGCCCAGCTCTGGGGGAACTGGGGCGCTCATCTCACTGGGCTTCTCTTCCAGGGCTCTGCCTGGGCCAGGAGATCCATGCACAGGAGGGTGAGTGCAGGTCCCAGTCCTCCTCACAGGGGCAGCTGTGGACAGGGGCATGTGGATCCAGGAGCCTGGGGACCTTAACAGTGTCCCACGCGTTGGCAACCCCAGTGTGGCCCTCAGCCAGGTCCCTGTGTCTCTGCCTGTCTCCTGTGGTTTCCTGGGCTGAGCACAGGGCTCGCCCCTGACATGGTGGCTGCGTGTCTGGGGTCGTGGCAGGATGCTCTGATGGCCCACCTGGGAGTGGGTAGGTGGGGTCAGCAGGCCTGGCCTCTCCCACTTACCCGTGTTGGTGGAGAGCGTCCATTCCTGCCCCTCAGCAGTTGTGCACCCCACACCGTTACCAGCCACAGTCCCCACACAGGCCAGTGGCTGTCCTCCAAGAGGCCCCTGGACTTGCTCCACCTCTAGCTGCAGTGTCCTGAGTGACAGGCACCTGGGCTTCTCCCACTCTGGGCCCCGGGAGTGGGGGAGGGGCCCGACACCTGTCCTAGGTCTCAGCCAGGTGCCCCATGTCCCAGGGAGAGACAGCCACCTCCTCTGTGCCCTGATGTGCCCAGGGACACTTGTGCAGGGTCACAACTGGACAGGGTCTCCACCTGCCCGTCCTCCCTCCTCAGGAGGCTGTGTCTGTGCCTCTCCTGCTCCTGTCAGCACACAGAGGGGCTCTGAGTGGACAGACAGGGACCAGGACTGAGGGAGATGAGGGGAGGAGATGGACTGGGTTGGCCCAAGGGTGGGACATTCCAGTGGGCAGAGGGGTCTGAGCAGGAGGCCAGCTGTGCAGCAGGTGACCAGCCAGCAAGTGCTAACAGGCTGAGAAGGAGGGGACAGTGTAGAGGACACCCCGAGGCAGAGGCTCAGCAGAGGCCCCTGGACCTGGCCCAGGGCAGGGAGGGGTGGGCACAGACACAGCAGGGCCAGGATGCCCAGGCTCCCAGGGGACCCCGAGCCAGGCAGGATGCAGCTGGGGTCAGGTCCTCCTCACCAGGTGGGACAGCAGCTGCAACAGCAGGGAGGATGTGCACAGGAGGGGACACGGGGAGGGGACACGGGGAGGGGACACGGGGAGGGGACACAGGGAGGGGACACGGGAGGGGACACGGGGAGGGGACACAGGGAGGGGACACAGGGAGGGGACACGGGGAGGGGACACAGGGAGGGGACACGGGAGGGGACACGGGGAGGGGACACGGGGAGGGGACACAGGGAGGGGACACGGGGAGGGGACACGGGGAGGGGACACAGGGAGGGGACACGGGAGGGGACACAGGGAGGGGACACGGGAGGGGACACGGGGAGGACACAGGGAGGGGACACGGGAGGGGACACAGGGAGGGGACACGGGAGGGGACACGGGGAGGGGACACGGGGAGGGGACACGGGGAGGGGACACGGGAGGGGACACGGGGAGGACACAGGGAGGGGACACAGGGAGGACAGAGGGAGGGGACACGGGGAGGGGACACAGGGAGGGGACACAGGGAGGACACAGGGAGGGGACATAGGGAAGGGACACGGGGAGGACACAGGGAGGGGACACAGGGAGGACAGAGGGAGGGGACACGGGGAGGGGACACAGGGAGGGGACACGGGAGGGGACACGGGGAGGACACAGGGAGGGGACACAGGGAGGACAGAGGGAGGGGACACGGGGAGGGGACACAGGGAGGGGACACAGGGAGGACACAGGGAGGGGACATAGGGAAGGGACACGGGGAGGACACAGGGAGGGGACACAGGGAGGACAGAGGGAGGGGACACGGGGAGGGGACACAGGGAGGGGACACGGGGAGGACACAGGGAGGGGACACAGGGAGGGGACACGGGGAGGACACAGGGAGGGGACACAGGGAGGACAGAGGGAGGGGACACAGGGAGGACACAGGGAGGGGACACAGGGAGGGGACACAGGGAGGACACAGGGAGGGGACATAGGGAAGGGACACGGGGAGGACACAGGGAGGGGACACAGGGAGGGGACACGGGGAGGGGACACAGGGAGGACACAGGGAGGGGACACAGGGAGGGGACACAGGGAGGACACAGGGAGGGGACATAGGGAAGGGACACGGGGAGGACACAGGGAGGGGACACGGGGAGGGGACACGGGGAGGGGACACAGGGAGGACACAGGGAGGGGACACAGGGAGGGGACACAGGGAGGACACAGGGAGGGGACATAGGGAAGGGACACAGGGAGGACACGGGGAGGGGACACGGGGAGGGAACACGGGGAGGACACAGGGAGGGGACACGGGGAGGGGACACGGGGAGGGGACACGGGGAGGGGACACAGGGAGGACACAGGGAGGGGACACGGGGAGGGGACACGGGGAGGGGACACGGGGAGGACACAGGGAGGGGACACAGGGAGGGGACACAGGGAGGACACAGGGAGGGGACACAGGGAGGGGACATAGGGAGGGGACACGGGGAGGGGACACAGGGAGGGGACAGGGAGGGGACACAGGGAGGGGACAGAGGGAGGGGACATGGGGAGGGACACAGGGAGGGGACACGGGGAGGGACACGGGGAGGGGACACGGGGAGGACACACAGGGAGGGGACATAGGGAGGGGACACGGGGAAGGGACAGAGGGAGGGGACACGGGGAGGGGACAGAGGGAGGGGACAGAGGGAGGACACAGGGAGGGGACACAGGGAGGGGACACAGGGAGGACAGAGGGAGGGGACACAGGGAGGACACAGGAGGGGACACAGGGAGGACACGGGGAGGGGACACGGGGAGGGGACACAGGGAGGGGACACGGGGAGGGGACACGGGGAGGGGACACGGGGAGGGGACAGAGGGAGGACACAGGGAGGGGACACAGGGAGGGGACACAGGGAGGACAGAGGGAGGGGACACAGGGAGGACACAGGAGGGGACACAGGGAGGGGGACACGGGGAGGACACAGGGAGGGGACACAGGGAGGGGACACGGGGAGGGGACACAGGGAGGGGACACAGGGAGGGGACAGAGGGAGGGGACAGAGGGAGGACACAGGGAGGGGACACAGGGAGGGGACACAGGGAGGGGACACAGGGAGGACACAGGGAGGGGACACAGGGAGGGGACACAGGGAGGACAGAGGGAGGGGACACAGGGAGGACACAGGAGGGGACACAGGGAGGGGGACACGGGGAGGACACAGGAGGGGACACAGGGAGGACACAGGAGGGGACACAGGGAGGGGGACACGGGGAGGACACAGGGAGGGGACACAGGGAGGGGACACGGGGAGGACACAGGGAGGGGACATAGGGAAGGGACACGGGGAGGACACAGGGAGGGGACACAGGGAGGACACAGGGAGGGGACATAGGGAAGGGACACGGGGAGGACACAGGGAGGGGACACAGGGAGGGGACACGGGGAGGGGACACAGGGAGGACACAGGGAGGGGACAGAGGGAGGGGACACAGGGAGGACACAGGGAGGGGACATAGGGAAGGGACACGGGGAGGACACAGGGAGGGGACACGGGGAGGGGACACGGGGAGGGGACACAGGGAGGACACAGGGAGGGGACAGAGGGAGGGGACACAGGGAGGGGACACAGGGAGGGGACATAGGGAAGGGACACGGGGAGGGGACACAGGGAGGACACAGGGAGGGGACAGAGGGAGGGGACACAGGGAGGGGACACAGGGAGGGGACATAGGGAAGGGACACAGGGAGGGGACACAGGGAGGGGACACGGGGAGGGGACACGGGGAGGGGACACGGGGAGGGGACACGGGGAGGGGACACAGGGAGGACACAGGGAGGGGACAGAGGGAGGGGACAGAGGGAGGGGACACGGGGAGGGGACACGGGGAGGGGACACGGGGAGGACACAGGGAGGACACAGGGAGGGGACACGGGGAGGGGACATAGGGAAGGGACACAGGGAGGGAGACACAGGAGGTGAGCCCAGGGAGAGGGACGCAGGGAGGTGGGTAACTGTGGAGTCACAGAGTGACGCAGCTGCACAGCTCTGTAAACTGCCCAAGAACCTTGGGCTGTGCAACTGAATTCAATCTGTGGCACAGCCACTCCTCCCAGTGGACGCTGAGCCGCTGTCTGCTTCCTCCCAGGGGCCCTGCCCAGACCCTCCATCTCTGCTGAGCCAGGCTCTGTGATCCCCCGGGGGAGGCCCGTGACCATCGTGTGCTGGGGCCCTGCTTGGGCTCAGGAATTTCGCCTGGAGAAGGAGGGAAGAATCCAGTTCTGGGATAAGAGGAATCCTTCACCTTCTGAGCGAGAGGCCAGGTTCCTGTTCCCCTCATGAGTGAGGACACTGCTGGGCGTTATCACTGCCTCTACCTAAAGTCCACGTGGTCTGAGCTCAGTGAAGACTTGAGGCTGGTGCTGAGCAGGGAGGACGTCACCCAGGTCACCACCCCAGTCCCAGCTCAGCCATCAGGTTGGTCCCCAGGTCCTGTCCACAGCCTCCTGCCCCCACCTGACCCCAGGCCCCTCCCTCTGCACAATGTCTCTTCAGCCCTTTTTGCCCTGAGGTCCCTGGAGCCCTGGTCTCATGGCCACTTTGTGTGACCTGGGCACAAATCTAGAATGGGTTGGGCTTGAGGTGGCCCTGCGGCTGGGTGGAGAGGGGTCCCCAGAGATGGCTGGGGGCAGACCCCTTCCAGAACAGTGTCTCTTCACTCAGATGGTGTGTTCACTGTCCTTCCCACGGGGCCAGAGCCTGGGTGGCTGAGGGTGAGATCTGGTGTAGTCCCCTCCCACTGGGCAGGTCTCCTAGCCCAGGGATAAACCTGACCAGGACTGGAAGGGGCACTGGGGAAGCTTTGGGAGGTGATGGTCCATGTCCTGTGTGTGCTCAGTCTGTTGTTAGGGTCCAGGAGGGTCACCCCATCCCAGAGAGGGACAGGGGACATTCTCCATTTAAAGCCAAGTCTTTTCTCCCTTCTCTGTGAATTCTGCTGTAACCCAGACATCCTGGGGGCCAGATGCACAGTGTCCAGGGGTGGACCAGATGCAGTGTCCAGGGGTGGGCCAGATGCACAGTGTCCAGGGGTAGGGCTCCAGTCAGTTCTGGGGGCACTCACTAGTTTATCCTGAGGCTCTGACAGGTCCCCAGTATCCTGGGTAATTACTGGTGGCACAGTGGCCACCTAGGTGAGGTCAGTGCCCAGACCTCCTGACCCTGTGTCCTGGGTGAAGCTCCCCTTGTCTGTCTGCCCATGACCAGGACGAGCTGCTTAGTGCTGGTGGGTGCACAGCAGGAACAGCTCAGGTGCCACCTGGGTCCCCAGGTCTCCTTGCCCACCCTGGGGGTCTGCAAAGGTCACTCATAATCCAGGGTACAGGAGAGGGCCCAGGCAGGAGTTAGAGGACACTGTGGGAGGTGAGGGACGGTCCACAGGAGCCCCAGAGACCTCAGGTGTGTGACTCTACCTGTGCTCCAGGCAGGCACACAGGTACTGGTGTAAAGCAGGTCAGCTCTGTAGAGACCACCATGATCTCCACAGGTGCGGCAGGCACCTGGCGGGAAGGAGCCATGACATACCCTGCACCTCTCAGGATGTGGCCCCAGGGCAGGGACGTGGCTCCTGGCAGGTGACAAGGTGTGAAGTGGTCATGCTGATGCCCACCCCATCCTGACCCCAGACCATCATGGTCACCTCTGCCTCCCTGTCCATGTGACGGGGTGGAGTGTCCCCCACTGTCTGTCCTGTTGGTCCAGCTGTCTGGGTGGATAAGTCCCACCTGCCCCCTCTGCTGTTTGCCTGGAACCTTCCAGGAGGAGGAGACCCTGTGTGGACCCTCGGTCATCCCCTCCCTGTCCCCATGCTGTGGGGACCCTGGTCCTGTCAGGGCTTCCCCAGTGTCTGTGAGGTGACGTGTCGTGGTCCTGTGCACTGAGACTCCATTAGGACCTGCAGACCCAGAGCTCTGTCAATCACCAGCTCAGGAGGTCAGCTCCAGGGTGCACTGGGCTGGGGATCCACCTGGGACCCCAGCCCCATGCACTCTGGGTCCTGCTCACTGTAGCTCAGCACAGTGTCCCCAGGAGACCCTGGGTGTTGGGGGAGGAGGGTCACCCAGTGAAGGGCAAGCAGAGTCCATCCATCCTGCCCTAGGGACGCACACACAGGGGTCACCTACCCTGACCCCTTTCCCAAGGCCTCAGATGCTGGGGTTTGGACTGAGAGGAGGGATGGGGACACTCAAAGGTCCAGCAGACGTCGGGCTGGATGAACTGGCAGAGCAGAGACAGCCCTGGTGCAGCCCAGGGTCACACCTCTGCCCTCCCCTGGCTGGTTCTCACAGTGGGCTGTGGGCACCACCAGGCCCTGAGCCCTCCTCTCATCCTCTCCCCTTCACTCCTGAAGGAAATTCTTGTTTGGCTTTGTTTTTCTCCAGCACTTTGAATAAAGCATCCCCGTCTTCCCTCCCTGCAAGATGCTTGCACAAAGACCTGCTGATTGTCTTTCCAGGGTGCCCTGGAGGGTGGCACAGGGCACTGTTATAGGCACAGAGTGCAGAGGGGCCTGCTGCAGTGGGGAGGACCAGGCACCTCTAGGTAAATGCAGCTCTAGTTTGGATCGAACTGCTTCCCAGGCTCTTGTCCGAGTTCTAGAACAAACCTTCAGAGCACTGACAGGAATACAAACACATCCTGCACCTACAGAGTAAGGGAACACTGTCTGGCCTCCCATCCACCATTACCAGACAGGCAGGGGGAGGAACCACAGCACCCGTCCACAGAACACCTGGGGTTCATCTCACACTCCTGGGCCCACCACAGGGACCTGGCGTCTGCTGAGGTCCTGGGGCTCCTTGGCTTGGTGTGTGGTGCCCAGGCCATGTACAGGGATGTTAGAATTGGTAGAGAAAGACATTAAAACAGTCCTTGTAGGGGCTGAGGGGGTGGCTCAGTGGTGGAGCGCATGCCTTGCACACGTGAGGCCCTGGGGTCAATCCCAGCCCCAAAACCATTCACCATAACTGCATTCTGTATTTTCAAAAAGTTTAGCAAATAAGTAGAGATAAGTGTGTGTGTGTGTGTGTGGTGTGGGGGGGGACTAAATGGAACTTCTAGATACAAAAACTGCCAAAAAGTAAAGACACAAACCAGATGTTGAACACTGAAGTAGTAGAGAGTGGTGGACTTGCATTGAAGATACAGCAATGGAGACATCCTAAATGAAAACCAGATGCAGGTTTGTTTTTTTGAATAGAAAGCATTCCTGACTGGGTGAAATGGAACCATAGTAGAGTTGTGTTGAATCCCGAAGCAAAGAAAAGACCTCTGACTGCAATTTTAAATCAAATTAAGGCAAGCTTGTATTGTGTACACAAAGAAGAGCTGATCAGCGGCTGTCTCTCCCAATCCAGGCCAGAGAGCAGCCCCCAGCCCTCCAGGAACAAGGTTTTACAGCACAGAAAGTTGCAAAGCGGGGTGTCTGGAGAACTTACAGCTAACAGGATTTGACAAGCACAATACACAGGCATAGAGCAGGTTAATGATGTACATGGCATGATATTTCAAGGTAGGGAGCAAATTCAGATCCCAACATCAGGATTTATGAGGCGCCCATGAGGTTTTAGAGAGGGTTGTTTTGCGCTCAGGGAAAGCCAGGCAGGGGTGAGTTCAAGGCACAGGCAGGAATTCCAAATAGTTTAGGTATTTCAGTAATTTATAGTAAAGCAGAGATTCACTTTTATGACTGGGATGAGATGGCTCCTGATCTTATGGTGGAATTAAGCTGGGTTCCTCGGTGGCTTTTCCCCGGCTGGCTAGAGAAGTTCACCTTGGGTATTGTTTGTTGGTTTTTGTTTTTGTTTCATATTATTTTTGGTCCTTTGTACGTCTTTTGAGAAGTTTTGGTTTAGTACCTTGTCCAGCAGAGGAAAACCTGTGGTTGACCAACTGTAGAGGCCACGTGTGGACAATAGTGAGACTCCCTAAAGGGGAGATCAGGATAGTGCATCCCTAGATCATGACACTGACCTCCAGGAGCCCAGCCAGGGGCCTGCAGGACACACAGCAAAGGCCCTGCTGTCCTAGGGGAGGGGAGGAAGGCTGGTGCCCCCTCCTGGCTCCCACCTGGCCACAGCCGGGTCAGGAGACAGGCGTTAAAGCAGCCCTTGGCCAGTTCTCCCTCCCTGGGCTGTTGATACCTGGGTTCTGTGAGGAGTCCTGCTCCCTCACATGTTGAAGTGGGAACAGTAGAGAAGCAGCCGAGGCAGCATGTAAAGTGGGGTTTATTTAAAAAGGGGGAGGAAGACTTCTCCCAGGAGGGGCCATAGCTGGTGTCCTGGTGTCCCCAAAAGGGAGGGGTTCTGCCTTTTTATATGTCCTGGGCTTCCTGTTTCTCCTGCCCTCTTCCCCTGGTCTCTCTCCTTCCTGTCTACCTGGCTAGGCCCAGGGGTGCTCGGAGGGAGGCCAAAAGGGGGACCCAGGTGGGCTGGAGGGGAGGGCAGGATGGTGCCGCCCAGGACACATTGATTAACAACCTTGTGGCTCCCCCAGGCAGGGGCCACTCCTGGGACAGGTGACCTCAGCAGCAGGTTGGAGCAGGGGCAGGTCTTGATAAGGGTGGAGGAAGGGCTGAGGAATTAACATTTCAGTCCCTCAGGGGACAGTCTCCACCTTCCTGGACTCACTCAAACTTGGCCTCCTTGATCCGACCTGACTCCATTTACCACCTTTACTGCCTGCCTGTCTGATTCTGGCTTCACGTCCCACCAGAAGCCCCACAGGAAGGGGACAGCCCGCCTCCCTGCGTGGTCTTGTTTTCCTAGGAATGTGGCTATGGGGGAATGCAGTGTCTCTGCAGCCCTTCAGACAGAGTGGGGTCTCCTCTGTCCACCCCCACGGTCTGTCTGATCTGTCCTCATCCCTCCTGGGGACACAGCAGCAAATACACCTGCTGCCCTCCTGAGCCAGACCCTTCCAGGTGAGAGTGACCCAGGGCTGGGCCTCCCCTCTCAGGGCCTCCCTGGGGCTCCATCTCCCTGCAGCCTGTCCAGGGCACAGGGTGGTGAGCCCCTTGCCAGGGGCAGCCATCCCCCAGCCCTGGAGATGCTTCTGGGGAGACACAGGCTCCCTCTTCAGGGGAGGGCAGAGCAGCAGACCCTGAGCACCTGGCTGTGAGCTCACCTGGTGCTTCCTGCTGGGGATGAGCACAGAGACGCAGGGAAAGTGAAGGAAATAACAAGAGCCGGGCATGGTGGCCCAGGCTGTAATTCTTGTAGCTCAGGAGGCTGAGGCAGGGGGATGGCAAGATCAAGGCCAGCCTCAGCAACTTAGTGGCCTAAGCAACGGAGTGAGACCCTGTCTCAAAATAAAACATAAAAGGCTGGTCTGTGGCTCAGTGGTAAAGAACCCCTGGGTTCAATCCCTGGTACCAAAAATTAAATAAATAAGAAATGTCTGTTCAAGACTCTGGAGTGTGGTTTGTTTCTACTAAACTTTGCCTTAATCCACTTCCCTGTTTTTCATCCAGCGCTCCCCTCCCCCGTTCTAAGAAACAACCCAATTGTGCTGCCTTGGGCCCCATTGCTACCTCCACCCATGGCTGGGTCACGTGTGGGACACAACACTGAGGGTTGAGCTCTGGGTGTGCAGGGCAGAAGCTCATCTTTAAAAGTTCCTGGTTACCCTGCAATCCCAGAAACTCTGGAGACTGAGGCAGGAGGATGACAAGTTTGAGGCTAGTCTCAGCAATTTAGGGAGGACTTAAGCAACTTAGCAAACCCTGTCTCAAACTAAAAAAACTAAAAGGATTGGGGATAGTGGGAGGGGGCTCCTGGGTTCAATTCTTGGTACCAGAAAAAAGAATTCCTGCTTGTCCTTGCCTATGTACCCGTGAACATTGATACCACTTTTCTGACCCTCAGTTTCCTCGTCCTGAGGAGGTTCTCATAGACCCTCTCCACAGAGGATTTGGATCGGGGTACAGGGAGCATGGGAGGGGCTCTGTCCTGGTTAATCTGCAAACCTCCTTAGGAGGAGGGGAGGGGAGTCTGGGACCTGAGAGAGTTCTGGCTTTGGCTCCAGGGTCCAGGTGGATGAATGCTGTGTCCACTGAAGACCCAACGCTGGGCGCTCTGCCCTTGTCCCAGGTCTGCAGGAGAGGCAGCTGCACAGCCTGCCTGCTGGGGCTTTACCAGAGCCTGGCTGACCTGGACGGGACGGGCCAGCTCCTGCCCCCTGCAGCCCTCGGGTCTCCCCTATGTGGGACAGAAACCCTGAGAAGCACTGTGAAGCTCCCTGTCCAGGACCACCTGGTCATGGAGAGACAGATCTGACCGTGCACTGCTGGACACGTGCCCAGCCGCACACCTTAGCTTTCCTGAAAAGCCCATGTACGGGAACTGCCACCCCAGGGGATGATGCCGAGGGACTGGGCCGGAGGAGATGGCTCCAGGTGCACCCTGGGGACTGCAGGAGGAACCCAGGGCCACCAGCTTGTCTTCTGCAACAGCAAGACAGGAGGAGCCCAAGGCCTGCAGGAGGCGGGCAGGGCCAGGGCCACAGCAGGGACCTGGGCTTCCTCAGAAGTATGCACATGTCCAGTGTTAGTGACAGCCCCTGCTTCAGAGCCTGCAGGCCACGCTCCCCTGGCATCTTAACTCTCTGCAACAAATCGGGGTGAAACCCTGGCCAGGGGCACCTGGGGGCGGAAGGGTGGTCAGGACCCTGAGGGCTGCAGCACCTCTCCCACCTCTCCAGGGTCTGTTAGGGCTGACCCTATTCAGCACAGATCTAGCGGTCAGGAAGTGGACCCCAGGTGTCCCCAGGGGGAGAACACAGCTAGAAATACAGGGCCACCCTGGGAGCCCACAGGCAGGGAGGTGGGAGTGGAGAGAACAGGAATCTAAACCAGTCACAGAGATGCCCGGGGCTCTGGCTGACAGTGAGCAGCTCTGAGAACAGACGGGGGTCCCAGGAAGAGACTCAGAGGGCCACCAGAGGCCGGAAGGGCTGGCAGGACTCGGCGAGGGCCTCAGGGGCGCTCAGGGTGGCACCACGAGGACAGCTCTCGGCTGGAGGTTGCAGCAGCGGAAACCTCAAGACTGGAAAAGAACCAAGACTGCAAGGTGAGAGCCTCCAGGACCAAGGGACACAGGGGTCACCTCTGCCCCCTGGAGCACCAGGAGGAGAAAGGAAGACACAGAGACCCAGTGGGAGGACAATGACAGGGAGTCCCCAGTTACCATCAGACACAGACCCCAGATCCAGGAACTCAGAGACACCGCCCAGGACCCAGGCAGCAGAGCCACTGAGCACTTGAGCCCACGTGCAGGAACCCAGGGTGACGATGGCCACCAGCCCACCTGCAGAGGGACGGACACAGGTCTGCAGGGCCACGCAGAGACCAGGTGGGCAGGACCAGGCCCGGGACAGAGAAGGGAGGAGAGCAAAGAGCACCCGCCCCACGCTCTGCCCTGGGAGTTCCCCTCAAGGTGGAGGGAGAGAGCGGCTGCTCATGCCCACGCTGAGGGGCTCTGCCTGCAGCCCACCTGCCTTGAAATGCTAAGCCAAGGTCCTGGGGCAGGAAAGTGCACGCCATCAACCACATGGACTACCAGTGAAGGGAAGGCCTGGAGGGTGCCTTACCTTCATTGACAGTCTCTGAACTACCAGTGGACTCTCAAGTCCCTTCATTGAAATGACTCTGTCCACAATGTCATGATTGGCAACACAGATCCCCTAGCGATTTCATGAAGACAGAAACCCTGCAGGACCCAGGGAGCCATGTCAGGAGGTGACTCTAGGTGACGTTGGGGGTCGATGCTTCTCCACACTCCAGCAGTGAGCAGAGATGTTTGGATTTACACCACGACCTGGTGACGTGGTGCTACCTCGGCACGTGGAGGGTGGGAGGAAGGGACGTGGACAGTAAGAGCAAACACACAGCAGGACTCTCAGGGTTTTAATGTGGCTTTTTCACAGTCATGTCCACAGGACCAGCACCTGTTACACTGTGGGCACAGCTGCACGGACATCTCCCCGTGGGGACTGGCGCGTGGAGGGCTGCAGAGAGCGCTGGGCCAGCCCTGGGTGCACACAGCATGGTGGGGAAGGCTCTCAGCCAGCACCCAGCTGGTCCTGCACCCAGTCACCTCTGCTGCCAGGACAGTCTCAGGTGCAGCCCCACCTGTCCAGGTGGCCTTCAGACTCCCGAGGGTCCTTCGGCTCCCAGCTCTGCCCTCTGAGTGTGCCCTGTTCTCTCCTGTTCACCTCCTGGCTGCACCTCGGGTCCCTCTCTGGCTGTCCTGAGCCTGAGACAGCAGGACCCCGAGGACCAGCAGGACCAGGCCAGCCAGGCCCATCCGGATGAGGTTCTGCACTGTGTAGTCCTGGGGAGCTGAGGCTGGGAATTGGACACAGAGGTCAGAGGTCAGCAGGACCAAATCACCCCAGGATCCCCACATGTCCACCCAGGGCAGCCGCCTCCCCTGGCCAGGACGTGACCCTCAGAGTCCAGTCCCATAGCTGAGAATCCTCCCGACTCCCCTGAGCTGGGGTCTGAGCTGCTCTGCGCTGGGCTGATGGTCTCAGTGGCTCCTAGAACCAAGTAGAAGAGGGGACCTGTGACCTGAGGAGCCCCGTCCTGCCTGGGACCCACCTCCTCGCCTCATTCTCACCACAGGACTCTCTGGAGCCCCTCTGAGCCCTTCCTGGTCCTCAGGGTCCCCTCTGCTCCTCTCCCTGGTCCTTCACCCTCTCTGTGCTCTGGGAGGTCAGGAGTGTGTCTGAGTCACCTTGGAGCAAAGTTCAGCTGAGCCTCAGATCTCAGGGTTGGTGGGGAGACTGGTCCCTGGTTCAGGGTTCCCCTGCCCTGTGTGCTCTGTGTGGTCTGGACCTTGGACCATGGAGCTATGACCCCTGGAGAGGAGGTTCAGTGGTTTCCCTACTGAGTGCCCAGGGCCGGGGTGAGGGGTGGTGTGGGGTGCCTGATGGTCAAGAGCAGAAAGGTGACAGTTCTGGCCACCCCCTGCACCTCTCTAGCCAGTTCCCCTTGGGTGTCCTCGTCAGTTCAGTCTCATTAGCTAATCATTGTGTAGCCAGAGACCCCCACACCAGTGCCTCACACACCAGGTAAGAGGTGCAGTGCTCCAGTGGGGTCCTACCAGTGGCTCCCGTAATCATCTACTTGTAGAAATATAAATCTATGCAGCCTAGTAACCATAACAACACGTAAAACCCCACCAGCCTAATGACATTAAGAATGTGGATATAATATGTATATTCTAATACAGTAATAATCAGATAATTGAATTATATAATTAGGGATAAATATTTAGATATTGATATAATTGTAGATATGTGTAACCACACACACACACACATATACACATATATCGAAGCAAGAGAAATTGGTGTGCAATTAGGAAGTCAAGAAGTGAAATTTAGATCTGATTTTGTTTGACATAAATTTCATCAGTTAATCACAAGAGATTTAAAAACCATCAAACGGGAGAGAATCCTAAGTTAATATGAAATAAAATTAATATACCAAGCTAACAGCCTCCTATACTTAATTACTATTTAGAAAATAAGGACTGACCTTATAAATTCCTAAGATAGTCAAACAATTCTGAAAATCACCCATGAATGGACCCCTTTTCAACTTCACAATATTTCTCATGTTCCTTCATAAACGTCTATGCCAAGTGTCTTGGGAAAGAGGACTTGGTCGTGGGAAGAAGGTATTCCCCACAATTAATGCAGGAATATAATCTAGACCCAGGGAAATTGGAGTAGAATTTCTTTATTTTTAAGCTATAAATCCAAATATCTCAAGCTAAATTTTCAGCTTCAAAAGTTTTAGAAAGGGAGAGAAAACAGACTGGAGAGAGTTCTGCTGCAGAGGGTGACGTTGGAGTGGCTCCAGGGAGCAGGGCCCTCCTTAGTCTCAGGTGTGCCCTGAGGCCACCAGGTGATCCCTGAGGAGCCCAGTGGCCTCCCTGCCTGGGACACCGTGTCCTGTGGGGGCTCCAGCCTCACCCCCACCACACCCCACTGTGGCCTGAGCAGCCTCCGCGGTGACCTGAGAGGGCCCAGGGACCCTGCAGGTGGGGTGAGGGCTGCATCTTGCGGGCTCAGAAATGAGAAATAAGAGCTGCTCAGGGGACCCCCCGCTGGCTGCTGGCCCCACCACTGGCCCTGTTTCCCGGAGGTCCCTGCCCACCTGCTGGAGGCGAGGGGTCATGCAGAGCTGTGTGTAGCGGTGGCTCAGAGTAAAATCTGAGTGATTTTGTGTGACCCACGGAGGGGAGGTTCTCAACCAGGAGAGTTTGATAAATCTTTGTTGTTTCCAAAATGCTGTGTCTCTGCTTTCCAAGCCGAGCCCTGGGCAGCTGAGGATGGCCCTGCTCCCCACCTTGGTGCTTCCATCCTCACAGACACAGTCACTGAGAGCAGCGGTGCAGGCCCAGGGAGGGCTGCACAGGACCGGCTCCAGGACCCGCTGCCCAGGAGCCCAGAGGCCAGGAACCAGGATTGGTGCTCAGGTCAGGCAGCTCCCCTGTTCAGATGGGGAGCCCAGGGCTGGAGGGAAAGGCCTTCCCAGAGAGCCAGCCTCCCAGGAGAAGTGGGAAGGACAGAATCCGTCCCTGTAGGTGCCCCCGCCCAGCAGGGGCTGAGCTCACAGCCCTCACGGAGGATTGTGCCTGGGAGTGGAGCTTGAAGCTCTGATCTTAAACATGGCGGCTGGGCTGTCAACTACCCCCTCCTTGCACAGGAGGAAAGTGTCCATCTTGATCAGTGACTGACACAGCAGGGTCACGTTCTCCCCTGAGGACACTGTGGGACCAGGCTGCACTGAGAGGGAGGGTGTGACAGGGAGCTGTCCTAGAGAGAGGAAGGAGGGTGAGGGTGGCCCCAGCTTGTTCTGAGCTGAGACCTCCCCGGGGCCTCTCTCTGAGGACCCTGTGCTCTCTGTCTGTCTCATTGTCTCTGATTCTTCCTGTCCCTGTGTCCCCCTGTCTCTGTCCTCTCTGCCCCTCCCTGTCTCTCTCCCTCCTGAGACCCCACATCACCCTGGCCATCACCTCCTGGGGCTCCCCAACAGGGCTGTGCAGAGGCTGGGTCCCTGGCTGCACCCTCTGTGCTCCTCACCTGAGACCAGGATGTCCAGGGGGCCACTGGGGGTTGACCACTCAGAGGAAAGACTATGTCCACTGTAGCACCTGTACCGACCCCCGTGGGAGCTGCTCACAGGGCCCAGCAGGAAGTCGGCCTGAGAGAGCCCAGCCTGGGGCTGCTGGGCAGGGCGCTGGGGGAGGTCCTGTGTCCCCTCCTTGGACAGAGTGAATCTGTCATAGTCCACATCAGGGTGATGCTAGAGGCCAGGTTCTCTCCAGGGCCCTGCTGGGTCAGGAGGGAGGGCTTCCTGGACACCCCTGGAGGAAGATGAGCCTGGGCTGAGGGCTGGATCCTGCAAACCCCCTGCCTCCCCTGTCCTGCCTGCAGGTCACTCTGGTCTCTGGCTCAGTGTGTCCAAGCTCCTGTGAGCCAGCCTCCCCACTGGGGCTCCCTTGAGAGCAGGGATCATAGAAAATCGTTTGGGTACTCAAAAGACAGTTGAGAGAAGAATAAGGCTCTCTCACCTGACAGCTGGAGCTCCAGGGGGTCGCTAGGAACTGACCACAGCTGGGGGGTGCTCCTGTAATATCCATAACATCTGAATTTCCACCTCTGACCAGAGGTCACCAGGCCTATAGGAAGCAAGGCCTGGACCTGCCCACTGGGGTGTAGCTGTGAGTCCAGGGTCCAGGTGAGGTTGTGTCCTCCTTCCTTGGTGAGAACAAACCTGTCATATCTCTGCCCTGAGCCACACTGGAGGGTCACGTTCCCTCCTGAGGTCACCACAGGGCTGGGCAGGGCTGAGAGCCTGGGTTTGCTGTAGAATCCTAGCAGAGAAGGAGACAGGTGTTCATGGCTCCCTCCTCCCACACCACCCCCAGCTGGGCTGTGAGAGGGACACCTGGGAGCAGACCCCCTCCCTGAGGGCAGAGCCTGGGGCTGGGACCCCTGAGTGTCTTCTCACCTGTCACCACCATCTCCAGGGGGTCACTGCGCTCTGACCACCCAGCAGGGCTGTGATAGTAGCATTGATATCTCCCTGCATGATACTCGGTCATGGATGGGATGGGGAACCTGGCCTTGTTCTCTGGCTCCAGCGGAGACTCTCTGGAAGGCTGTGCATGTCCTTCTTTATGCAGATAGTACTCCTGGGTCCCCAGGGGCCCCTCACACCAGATGGTCACTGGCCTTCCGCGGGCGATCACAGAGCCTGGCTCAGCCCACAGGGTGGGCTTGGGGAGGGTCCCTGCAAGGGAATCAGAGGCTGGGTCCCAGCACAGCCCCTCAGATCCCAGCCCTCAGCCCAGCCCCCTCCAGGCTCCCAGCCTCAGCCCCCAACTCTGTTCACCCCACTGCCCAGGGTGGCTCCTGGTCCCCAGGAGGAGGACCTGGACAGCTGGGGACACTCACCTGCCTGCCCTCGGGTCCCGGGGCCCAGACTCAGCCCTGGAAGAGAGTTCCTGTGAGAGGGGAGCCCCTGAGGCCTGAGCAGGCCCTGTCCCCCCACAGCCTCCTGGGCCCTGGGTCTCCTGATGGCCAGGGCCTGGCTGTGGGCTGACCTCCCAGAACAGGGTGTCCCCTCCCTCCGTCACATCTCACCCAGGCAGAGCAGGGCCGTGAGGGTGGGGGTCATGGCGTCTCTCCCCAGTGGTCCCAGTGGAGGTCACAGAGCCTGGAGGACAGACACACACAGGGTGTGGCCACTTGGAGGCGGTGTCCTGCCCGTCAAAGTGCTGTCACATCAGCTGCCCACAGGAAGGGGAACTGCCCTCCCCAGGAGCCTGGTTCTCATTTCCAGCTGGGTCAGGCCTGGGTTCTTGCGGGCAGCTCAGACAGCAATGGTGCCCTCCTCACCCCTTCCACTGTCTGCCTGACCTGTCCTGCTCTCACTGAGGGCCAGTGTGCTGAGGCAGGTACACCTAGTGCCACAGTGACCCTGGGGCTGCTCCTCCTCCCTGGCTCTCCTTCAGCCTGCCATGGCCCAGGGTTGTGGGCTCCTTGTCAGGACCAGCCGTCTGCCCAGCCTGGAGACGCTGCAGAGATGCAGGTCCGTCTGCTGGTGGGCCAGCTCGGCAGGCCTGAGTCCCTGGCTGCACAGCTCCCTGGACCCCGTTCCAAGTCCCTCTGTCATGGATTCTTCACATGCTAGGTCAAGGCCATTCCTTCCAAACCTTCTGTAAATTCAAGTATTGTCTCTCCTACACCATCCCCCAGTGGCCACTGAGTCCTCACCATGTCCAGCCTTGGGGCCAGGCATGGGGATGCTTGACGAGCTGAGGGGTTCCTTCCTTGGGCCCACGGATCTCAGACGGGTGGAGACAGGACCAGCACACAGGGCAGTGGGCAATTCTGCTCGACTCTCTGCTTCTCAGGAGGGAGAAAAGGGGACGAGACTCAACAACAGGTAGAGCTGCAACCACCTGATCTGGAGCATGGGCCGCTCTGGAGAAGGGTGGGAGCACAGGCCTAGGGGGCTCTCATCTTGCAGGGCCTCTTGCACCACACAAGCATTTTTAAGACCATTACCAGGAAGGAAGTGGACGGTAGCAGGGCGGTCTTGAGAGCAAACGGACACTTCTCCAACAGTTATCTGAACCCAGATGATGTGCCCACTGGTATTCTGAGTGGTGCACGTGGACCTCCTGCCTCTCCTACGGACCCAAGGCCGTGAACCCATTTACAGCTGAGGAGTGACGCTGGGAGATCCTTCGCCTTGGCCTGGTGAGGAGTGTGGGCAGGTGTCGTCGGGGCTCCGCGTGTCTCTGGAGCTGACTGAGAGGCGCAGTGTGTCCGAGGCCCTGGGAGTTGAGTCTGTAGGGCAGGTCTGTGGGGAGCTCGCTGGGGGGGCTGCCCTCTAGGGAGGAGCTGGGTTTGCTGGTGCGGAGTCAGCTTCGCTGGTCACCACGGCCTGAACCTCAGGCAGAGATCCCGAGTACAGCCCGGGGTCTGGTGTGATGGCGTGGACAGGACTTCCGAAGCCCTCTCCAGGCCTGGGCTGTGCACATGGCCAGCGGACGTGGGTCGGAGGGGCTCTGGGCAGTGCTGTCTGGAGTTAAGCTCTGCAGAGGGGACAAGAGCCCCAGGGCTGAGGGTAGCTCCCCTCTGTGCCTGGGCTGGTGGGAGCAGCCAGTGGGCGTCACGGGATGACGACGTCAGGGAGAAGGAGGCTCAGGAAAAGGTTTGCAAGACTTCACTGGCTCACAGAGGGAAGTCGAGTCCCGCCAGCCAGTTGCGTCATTCTGTTGCTTCCAAACTTCCTCCTTGGACTTCCTCATTTCTGTACGAGGCAGCGTCTCCCGGGCTCCTCCATCCACTGCTCGGGGTCATTCCTGCTTCCTCTCCCTCTTCTCTGACCCACAGCTCCTCCTCTGACCCTGTGGACTCTGCTCCGTGCTCGTCACTAGTGCTCCTGGGAGGAGATCCGCCGGCGTCTGCTCAAGAATGGGGGTGGCCTTGATCACTTGTCAACCTGGAGCAGGAAACAGCCCCCCACCATCCTCCTCACAGGGCGAGGGTGATGGCAGCTTCTAGGAGGGCAGTTCCCGAGACGAGGAAGAGTCTCCCTCTGAAGGGCTTTCCATCGAGGAGTCCGGTGCGGGGAAGGGCTCCTCTCCTCCCCAGACCTGCCCTCCGAGCCCAGAACATGACGGAGAAGCAGTCCTGCTCCCCGGGTCATCACGACTAGGATCTGAACGCTCACGTGTTGAAGGCCTGTCCCCGTGCAGGGTGTTCGCCTTTGAGGGGTGATTGGTTGGATCATGGGGGCTCTGACTTCATCAACGGATTAATCCACTCAGGGATTCATATTCTGAGGTTTTGAGGAAAGGATTTTGTTATAAAAGTGAGTGCACTGTTCTCTCTGTCTCTCTCCCCGCCATGTTGTTCTGCCCCATCACAGCCCATAACAATGGGTCCAGGGTCCAGGGGCTGAAATCTCTGACACTATGAGCCAAAATGAACCTTTCCTGCTCGAAGATGGTGTTTTTCAGGCATTTTGTCACTGCAACAGAAAGCTGGCTAAAAGGTGGGTGGAATGGAGAGAACCACAGACCCGTACAGGATGCTGGGGTGCAGCCGATCCTATACCCAGCTAAACTATCACCCAACCTGCTGGTGGAAATTTCACCAGTGTGATGGCACCTGAGCCCGGTGGAACTTAGGGCTTGTCTAATTTGGAGCGACTTCCATTTCACTTAATCCTCTGGGGACAGCTGCCTGCACCACTACCACCATTGCTGCCTCTGCTTCTGCTGCTGCCAGCCTGAGGTCGCCTGGGGGTCTTCTTTCTAGGCTAGGGCAGAAGCCACTGCTGCGCCCAGAGGTCTCTTCCTGGGCACGGCCTTGGTTACCCCGGACATGAGTTCCCTCACTACCTCAAAACTACTCTACGATTTCATCTCACCCCTGTCAGAATGGCAATCATCAAGAATTCAGGCAGCAATAAATGTTGGTGAGGATGTGGGGTAAAGGCACACTCATATACTGCTGGTGGGACTGCAAATTAGAAAGCAGTATGGAGATCTGAAAAGAAAACTGGGAATGGAACATACAACATACCATGTGCACGCCGCCCGGAACTCCTAAGGGAAGGAAAATGAGAAGAAGAACCCGAGGACGGCGGGAATCGCCCACATTTGGAGGAACCTGAGGACCACGTGGGCCCTGGACTGTATTCTGAGCATCCGGGTCTCAGCACTGGCTTGAGGCTGAAACGGGGCGAGGACCGGGATTTTGCATAGAACATGGCCCAGCTGAGGAGGAACACAGCCTCGAATCCTGCGATTCCTCAGACTTTGAAATGTGCTCAGTGAAAGGCAGACACCAAGTGCCCGGTGGCAAGGGGGTCCACCCACAGGCCACAGGCCAAAGAGGTCATCCAGATGCAGAAAGCAGGAGCTGGGGCGTGGGAACGTGGGGACCGCTTACCGGGCACAGGGTTCTCTTTGGGGGCTAAAATGTCTGGGAACTAAACACAGGTGGAGAGAGCATGATGTGCTGTGTGCTCAGTGTCGCTGGACCGTGCACTTCCAAGTGCTCAGTGGCTACTTGGGTTATATAAATTATGGTTCAATAACAAAAAGGGGAAAATGATATGATACCCTATAAATTCCTTACACCTTAAGGAGGCACCTCATGTCCTATTGGGGAGTTCGGGCAATAAAGGAGTTTCTGTTTGAACCTACAAGTGCCTCATGGCGGCTCGGTTATTTTGTGCCCAGCCAGACTGTGGCAACCTTTGCTCCCACTCTCACAGGGTGTCTGGTCTGATTCCCAGGTTTTTGATCCACTCTGAGTTGAGTCTTGTGCCTGGTGAGAGAGCGGGGTTTAGCGTCCGTCTGCTGCTTGTGGCTCTGTAGTTCTCCCAGTGAAGAGACTATCTGTTCTCCAATGTGTGTTTCTGGTGCCTTTTTCTCATACGAGACAACTGCATTTTTGATCAGTGCATATCGATCATACAGAGCAGCGGGATTCACGGAGGCACCTCACCCCGTCGCAGGGCAGTCCTGTCCGTTCTGCTCCCAGCCCCCTCCCTGCCCTCTCCGCCCCTCTCCCTGGTCACTCCTCTCCTCTGATGGGCTCCCTTCCTTCCCCCCTTTTCCTCTCCAGCTTCCGCGCTCTTCCTAAGTCTGGCTTGTTTTCTTTGATAGGATGCTCTTCAGTTCCAGCTGTTTTCCTGAAAATGAAACAATGTTTTTCTTCTTTATGCCAAAAATAATAATAATTCCATGGTGTGTGAGACCACATGTCCTTTACCCCCGCATCCGAGGACAGAACCCAGCTGCTACTGAAGGAGGCCACTGTGAGTTTGCTTTATCAACCCGGGAATGCCCTGACCTCTGCACTGAGCTGTCGTGACCTCCTGGGGACAGACGCCACGCACTGGGACAGCCGGTCAGATGGCGGAGCTGTTCTCAGTCTTTTGAGGACTTTCCACAGGGGCATTAAGTCCCAGCAACAGTGTATGAAGTTCACTGTTCTGCACTTATTGTTATTTGTATCCTCGATGACTGTCTTTCTGAGTGTGGGGCTGGGGACCAGCCCCAGGCCAGAGCAGGGGCTTCTGTGCGTCGCCCGGCGCTGGGAGCTGTGGGGAACTATCGAGGCTCTGCTGAGGGTGAGCTACTCTTTCACGTGTTTGCCTAGAAGTGATTCCCTTATCCAAAGTGCATGTACGAAGGCATGAATTGGTGTGAGTATACTTGATATACAACCAGAGAGATGACAAATTATGCTATGTGTAATATGAATGGTAATGCATTCAGCTGTCATACATAAAAATCAATAATAATAGGAAAAAAAGAAGTGATTCCTTGGGAATAATCGCAGCCGTATTAAGAATTCATGCAGTTATGGGTTAAGGTTTCTCTTCTTTGCCTCTGTTTGAAACTCCCTGATCCCTTTTGCACCAAGTTGGATTGATCTGCTACATGTGACACCACTGCTCCTTTGGTTGATACCTTGAGTCCCTAATTTTGCATCTACCCTTTCTACACTGGGTCCCCTCCTGCTGCTCACAGAGGGAGATTCTGCCCCCGTGACCTCGGCTGGCCCCAGCATGGCTGACCACATCACTCCTTGCTGAGGGTTCTTTCCCACTCGGGAACTTTCATTTCTCTCTTCCCACCCTAAGTGCAATGGTGCACATTTCAGAAATATCAGGTGGAGCATTTCTGAGTGTTAGGAGCAGGTGAGGATTTTCAGCAATCATCCACCTTGACCCTGGGGCCCAAAGGCAAGATTTTCTCAGGTCACAGCCTCCCCAGCCCACATCCTAAGGAGGTTTGCAGATTAACCAGACACAGCCCTTCCCATGCACC